TTGGGCCAGCACTGGTGTGGCCAGCGGCGCTAGGGAAGGGGGCGTCCCCCTGCACTAGGCGCTGGCTTCCGAGTTCAGTTTGGGCACCTCGGTACCGGAAAGACATCGAGGTTCTGGAGCGCGTCCAGAGAAGAGCAGCGAGGCTGGTGAAGGGTCTTATCAGGAGCGGCTGAGGGAACTGGGGTTGTCTAGCTTGGAGAAGAGGAGGCTGAGGGGAGACCTTGTTGCTCTCTACAACTCCCTGAAAGGAGGTTGTCTCAAGGTGGGTGCCGGTCTCTTCTCCCAAGTAACAAATGATGGGAAAAGGCCTCAGGTTGTGCTGGATGAGGTTTAGATTGGGTGTTAGGAGAACTCCACCGTAAGGGTTGTAAAGCCCTGGAACAGGCTGCCCAGGGAAGTGGTGGAGTCTCCATCCCTGGAGGCATTGAAAAGATACACAGATGTGTTTTAGGGATGTGGTTTAGCAGTGGAGTTGATAGTGTTAAGTCAGTGGTTGGACTCGATGGTCTTTTCCATCTGGACCTTTTCTATGAAATGTAATCTCCTTGTTGTCGGTTTGTCTTTTTTTTCCCCCTCTCTTAATGTTGTGAGAAGCAAAAGCTTGGTTGGTTGTTTTTTTAAGGTGGCTTCTCAGGGTTTTAGGGCCAGATGGGTGATTCTTTTCTGGTTAAACTGCCACCAAGATGACATGTCTTGCTTGTGCAGTTAGTGGCGATATTATTTCTTAATTTCAAGTGTTTTTGGTTTGATAATGCTCTGTTAACATCACTTCTTAGAGCTGGGACTGAAGAGGTCTAACTTGGAGGCTGCATAGAAGGTAGGGTAAGAAAGCTTCCAAGGACACTGATTTAAATCTGTGCAGGGTGGAAAGTGATGCTGAAACTAATCTACCTGTTTTAGGCATAGCCAGAGTGTATCTGCTTACAGGCCTCTTTTTCCCCACTAGTGAGCTATTTAGAAAAGTCTAATTTGGGTTGACTTCACAGGAATTCAGCTGGTTTTGCAGTGAGGTAAAACCGCTTGTTGGGCAGGGTGCTTCCACTTGCCATTTGTCCACTGTGGTTTGTGAGCTATGAGCTCAGCTTTATACAGTTTCTTAGAAGCTGCATTTCTGAGGCAATCAAATGGTAATAGGGGGTCTTTGTTGGCAGTGGTGGTACAGAATGAATAAGAGGTGTGCTGAACTACCTTTTTTGGAGACAGGAGCTAAATGAAGACTTGAGGAGCTTTCGCAGCATATGGGGATACTTTCATAGGTAATTTTCTTTGTCTTCCCACTCCTTGGGCAAGAAAGTGGCATATGTTCCCTGAGCTGTCAGCCTAGTGATGTTTGTAGGTTCTTGCGGTTGCCTGGGGGAACAGAAGGAGTGGATTGCATTTACAGTGTGTCTGCTCCACACCTACTGATTTTTTCTGGATGTCTCTGTTAGCTCAGTACTTTGGGGAGACTAATATTTCTAAATAAGTTTGTGCAAGTGGCAGGTGATATAAAACAGAAGTGTGTAACTTGAATTATGTGGGAGATCTGGATGCTGCTGAGTTATCTTATAGAATGATCAGCTTCTTTCTGAAGTGTGGGCTTTTAACTTATTTTTAATTATAAGCTCTTCTGGCAAAGTCAGTGTTTGATTCACACATTCTTTTTTATATATATTTTCTCTCCATTTATAGGAAAACAGTGAAATATTTGTTATAGTAGAGCAAGTTTAGAGTGAGGGTCTGCTGAGTTTGTTCCCTTCCACCCCCTCTCAGGTTGGGCTCCTGTGTATATAGTTAATAGTTTGGAGTTCAACAGGAGTGAGGGAATATCAAGTTTCTTGAGTTTTGTATTGTTAGCATATGCTATGATAAAGAATGTTTCTAAAAAAAAATTCCCTAAAAAATAGAATTCTAAATTAATCTCCTGGATGATGTAATCAAAACCAGTGCCCCTTCTCTGAACCAAACTACCTTTCTGCTTCCTCCAGAAGATCTCTAGGCATTATGGGAGCTGCTTTTCTAAGAGGCACAATATAATTTGTTCAGACTTTTCTGTAAACTAGTCTTTGAAGAGATGAAAAAATTAATAAGTTGAAGGTAGGTGAATGACTGGTCTGTATTAGACCATGTTTCCTGCAGAGAGTTTATGACTTTGTCAAAGTTCACTTGGTTTTATTTAGAAGGCTGACAAGCTACAGACTTAGAAATTGGTTATGAGTTGGTATCTGTCCCTTCTGCAGGATGGAGAAAGTGTGTTGTCATCTAATTTGGTATATTTATATAGGCAGGTTAAAGAGCTACTTCATCTGTTATATTAACACGGCCCATGTTGATGAAGAATCTCTTGCAGTAAGTTTGTTCTAAGTTTAGAAGGATCACTGATTTAATAATTTTTAAATTTTATTTTATTCTCAGTAACGATCACTTGGTTAAAGAAGGTCTCCTAAGGACAGCATTCTTGAATCTCCAAAGATGTCAGCTGTTGCAGGTAACCCAAAATTAATATTCAGTATGTTCATTTTGCTGTCTTGTAGCTAAAAGACACAATCACCTGATGTTACTGATATTTCATTATGTGAGTTTAGTGTATGCAGAAAAGTTTATTATACTTCAGTTTTGAAGTTGAAAGTTCTTTTATTGGGTAAATTTTTGTTTCTTAGATAACAACTAAACCAAAACCAAGTTAGTCAAGGAAACTACTTGATTTTCAGTATTTTGAAAATATGCTTCATATTTTAAGATACTTTCAACTTTTCCTGTCTGAGTAATGGTGGGCATTTAAGATGGCAAATTTTGTCCCCATTTTGTGCCATTTTAATGAGGATATATTTTTCCATATCTTGCATTTTTGCTTCCATAAGTGGGTTATTGTATCTGCTGTGCTTAGACAAAAATCTGATGTTGTGGGGTGGAGGCAGAGGAAGATTCTTCTTCTTATGCTTTCCTGACCTGGCTCTGAAATGGTGGTACACACGTGGCATGCTGTGGTCTGGGCTAGTTATCCTTTCAAAGCCTGGGGTCTGGAACACAATCTGTAGTTCACACGGTTGCATATTGGGATGTAAAGAGGCAAATTCCTGCCAAAGTTTCAAGTTTGTAACCCAAACTTTTGGGGACTGTTTGCTTTAGTTTTTCAGATCTGAAGTTGAGTTCACAAAAGCTTTTGTCCAAACCTTCTTGTTCAGCAGATGCTCCAGTTCTGCACGGGAGGGAGATCAGGGCACATGAAATGTAGCTTTTTAAGAAAATTATTATTTTTTTAAGAAATACATTTTTAAGTGTTACTCAGTATTTTCACAGGGCATGTAATGTATTAGATGCTAAAATGTTATCAGTGGGGCTGTCATCTGTTTCTCTAGGTGCTTTTGGTTTCTGTTTATTTTTGATTGTTCTAGTCAACAAATAAAATAAAGTATCCTTTAAAACTGGGATTAGGAATTTACTGTAGTCTCTGCTCTGCCTTCACCTTACTTTCCCCTTCAGTGCTAGAGGAGGTGCTGGCTTCCGTGGAGAATGAGCTGCAGGCAGTGGAGATGCAGATTCAGGAGCTTGTGGATAAGCAGCAGGAGCTTCTCCAGAAGAAGATGAGGATAAAGAGCCTGCTGAAGCAGTCCTCGGGAGAGCCGGAGGCGGGCGGCAGTGGAGACACCGACACCTCATCCCAGACCTGGAACAGAAGAGGTTTGCAGAGTCAAATTCAGATGTTCTGATAGAGAAGTAAAGTAATTTAGTCGGGGAAAAATGTGTTTGTGTAGAGTTTTATTTAGATAATGCTTTTTTCCTATTTCATTTTGTTCAGCTGAGTGACCTGCCATCTTAATGTAAGGGCAACGTTTGTCCTTAACTCCCTGGATATTCCTAAATACTAATCGGAGTTCTGGGCAGAATTATCACAAGAATGGCCTGTGAAATACTTCTCTTTTCTTGTTGTGAAGTCACCAGTTAATTTGATTTACTATAAGAATCCCAGAGTAAATCTGGATATATTGCAATAGTTATATTCCCTGTTTATTTATGTTCTAAAAGTAATTACTCTGGGTATTTTCAGGATTTGATAATCATGGTCTTGCACTCTTCAAGTTACTTCTCTCACTGTCTTTGTGTCTTTTCTTGCTTGAGTGGGCAGGACGTTGGTTGTGTCTGCTGTGGGTTATGTGGCCCCACCATTTTATCAAATTATGCAAATTAGATGGATGCTGACTGCCAAAAGTAACGTAGACTACTTTAGTATTGTAGAGTTAGTCCAACTAGCAAGTGCCTGGGGGTGGCGTGAGGGCTGCTGTTCTTCTGGGAGTGCTGTGCTTCAAGTTCAACATCAACAAAGTCCTGGGAAGTTGGTGGCTCTTGACCATGTTACACCTAGCCAAACTGAATTACAATCTTTCTTTTTTCCTATCCTCTTTTGCTTCACTTACAATTTGGAAATGCATCGTTGGTTTCTGCCTGCACCTGTTGCATTCTTTTTTTTTTGTAGTTTTAAAAGTGAAGTTAATGTTGTAGCCTAATCCATATCTGTCAATTTGAGAAAAGTGTTATGCATAGATAAGAACACTGATAATTTATCATGGCAAATTGATGCTGTTGAACAAATTGGTTTGTTTGGGGTGACTTTGTGCCTAATTCTCTCCTCTTGTGCTTTGAAGACTAACAGCTTTGCAATCAGATGCTGTGTACATGTTGAATAAATGAGCAGTTAAATTTGGTCCCAGAATCAAGCTCACTGAAGTCAGTGGGAGGCTTTTCTTGGTTTCAAAGAGCCTGGCATCTTGGCTGTGATCTCTGCAAATTAGGAAGTGATGTCACCTTAGGTCCCAAAGTTAATCCCTTGGATTGCATGTGCTGTAGCCTGGAGTTTAATCTGGAGTTCTGACTTTTTCTGCATTTTAATTTTAATAATACAAAAATGGTTGATCTGCTTCCTGAGGCATGGGAGATGTACGTTTGTACAGTACTACCTCTCAGTGATACAGTCTTTAGCTCTTTATTGGAGAAAAGACAATTTATTATAAGCATGTTAGGGTGATTATTTTGGCAAAGAATAAACTTCCCCTCCCACCTTTTTTTTTTCTTTTTTTTTTTATTTATTTTTGAACTATGGAATATATAGAAAAAATGGTAGCTCTGCCTTCATTATACTGTTTGTAATCACTGCATTTGTGTGAGGGAAGTGCTTGGGCAGATTAGTAGTGAGACTTGTAGGGCTCAGTGTCAGGTTTTATTTATTTTCAGGGTGAGCTTCTCATTTCCACTTAACTTTGGACTAAGTGGTTAACTTGATCATTAGCACTTTGAGGCTTTTCATCTCCTTGTGAGTTTTTAGCATTAGTTCACATTTACATGTAATGAAGGCCTTCGGTCTGGAGGTGGACTGTGTTTACATTTCAGAGGGTTTTCAAAGGTCCGCCTTAGCAATTAGTTTGTACAGGCTTGGTGTGTGTGTAGCTTTTTGTATGCTGTTATTGAATCTTTGAACACTTTCTGAGATCTAAAATCGTGTTTCTTCCAGATTTAGTTGTTGGGTGTATAAACTGCCCTTTCTTCTTCTATTTTAATTTGGTTATGAAATGTATTTGTTTTTTTTTTTTTTTCTTAACAGATTTTCCATGGTATGAGAAGCTAAAAACTGCACTGCAGAGCAAGTTTAAACTCCAGAAGTTTAGGTCCTTGCAACTTGAAACAGTAAATGCTGCAATGGCAGGGAAGGACATATTTCTTGTCATGCCTACAGGTGGTGGAAAGAGCCTTTGCTATCAGTTACCAGCTGTCTGTTCTGATGGTATGTAAGGGGAGAAAAGGTCACATATAAACAATTGGGTTTATTTGCACCCTTTTATGGTTACTTGGAGGATGAGCATATATTGATCTAATATCACAGTATGGGGGAAGAAAGAGCAAAGCTATGAGAGAAAGATTTACTAGAAATATTTGCTTTGCTCTACTTTCTCTGAAGATGCAATAACACCTTTAAGACAGATGTGCCTTTTAGGTGTGATTTGGATTTAAATAATTCAGCTAGGTTCCTTTCAATACCTTACTAAACACTGAAAGAACTTTTCAAAAGTTTCTCACTATTTTTTGTTTCTTTCCCTTTTAATTCAATACACAGACTGTAAATTGTTGAGGTATAGATAGCTGTTATTTGTCTGTTCCACTACAGTTTTAGCTTCAGATTATTTGGGAGAGACTTTGCATATTAATTTTTAAAAGTAAGTATCCAGTTTTAGTTTTTAAGCTTTTTTTTTTTTTTTAAATAACCCATCCAATTGCACGGGAGGTGACTTATTTGCAAAGACCAAGTTTGCTAATACCTGGCATTGCTTAATTGTTTGGTAAATTAGCATGACACAGATGTGAATCTGACTTTGGTGTATTAGTTCTTATACTCTGTATGTTGCAACTCAGTTGTTTGTGGTCTGGATTCTAGGAGAAGATGCATGGCACAGGCAGCTGCTAAGAAGTATCCTTATGTGATTTAGCACTCTCAGCTATCTAGGAGGGGAATCTGCTACTCTGTATGAAGTTTAAGCACACATTTAGCAATTCTTTCAGAATGGGGATGATGCATTAATAAAAACTATTTAGAGGAGATGTGTGGTATCTCAACTGTTCAACTTGCACAATGATTGATTGTTACAGGTTTCACACTCGTGATATGTCCTTTGATATCACTTATGGAAGATCAGCTCATGGTTCTGGAGCAGCTTGGTATTTCAGCAGCTTTATTAAATGCCTCAAGCAGTAAGGTACGTTTAATTGCCAGATCTTGTGGGTTTTGTGGTGTAGGTGCTGGCCTCTCACCCCTGTGCATTATTGATGGATGTGTGATGGATGGCACAGTCTGATCAGCCAACACCATTCTCTCCAGCTCTGTGCTGCACTAGGGACCATGTGAATAAAG